ACCACTACTACTACTACTACTACTACTACTACTACTACTACTACTACTACTACTACTACTACTACTACTACTACTACTACTACTACTACTACTACTACTACTACTACTACTACTACTACTACTACTACTACTACTACTACTAACTACTACTAACTACTACTACTACTACTACTACTACTACTACTACTACTACTACCACCCCTTACTACTACTACTACTACTACTACAACTACTACTACTACTACTACTACTACTACTACTACTACTACTACTACTACTACTACTACTACTAAACTACTACTACTACTACCACCACCACTACCACTACCACCACTACTACTACTACTACTACTACTACTACTACTACTACTACTACTACTACTACTACTACTACTACTACTACTACTACTACTACTACTACTACTACTACTACTACTACTACTACTACTACTACTACTACTACTACTACTACTACTACTACTACTACTACTACTGCTGCTACCACGACTACTACTACTACTACTACTACTACTACTACCACTACTACTACTACCTATACTATTACTACTACTACTACTACTACTACTACTACTACTACTACTACTACTACTACTACTACTACTACTACTACTACTACTACTACTACTACGACTACGACTACGACTATGACGACGACTACAACTACTACTACCACTACCACTACTACTACTACTACTACTACTACTACTACTACTACTACTACTACGACGACTACTACTACTACTATCACTACTACGACTACGACTACGACTACCTCTACTACTAGTAATGTTAGCCGTAGTGGTATTAGTAATACTGTTGTTGTTGTTAGTAGTAGTAGTAGTAGTAGTAGTATGATGATGATGATGGTGGTGATGGTCATGATGATGGTGATGGTGACGATGATGATGGTGATGATGTTTAGGATTGGTAGTATTATTATTAGTACTGTTTTAATGTTAGCAGTATTGGTAGTAGTGGTACTGTGGTAGTATTACTAGTACTGCTTTAGCAGTATTGTTAGCAGTATTACTAGTACTGTTTGAATGTTCTACTCATGGGTAGTAATGGTAGTCGTAATAATTACTCCGACGGAAGGACCCCACATGAGAATCCTCTGGGCGAATCTGAAAGAAGCCCTCACCGTCGTCAGCGTGGTTGGTGAGGCGTCCTGGCTGTCTCTTCTGCGTATATTTCTCCTCGCCCTGGCGCGGGCCCTCCCCCCGCTTCCTACGTTGCCCCCGACCTCGCCCTCCTGTTTTGGCTCCGGACATTCTGACAGTGGCCCGGGAATGGTGTTCTGGGAACACGAAGAACACGAAACGGCCTTCAGTTGGCCAGGCATTCAGAAGGTGGCCCGGGAATCATGTTCTGGGAGAGCGAAGAACACGAAGTGGCCTACAGTTGGCTCCGGGCATTCGAAATGTGGCCTGGGAATGGCGTTCTGGCAGCGCGAGAGCCCAAAAGTGGCGACAGGTACAGGAATTGGATGACCCGCTCGAATTAGTAACATGATCCGCGGGCCCCCCCCATAGGGAGGGGGCTCCCGCTTGAGACTTCCTCGCAATTCACTCAAATGTGGCCTGGGAATGGCGTTCTGGCAGCGCGAGAGCCCAAAAGTGGCGACAGGTACAGGAATTGGATGACCCGCTCGGATTAGTAACATGATCCGCGGGCCCCATAGGGAGGGGGCTCCCGCTTGAGACTTCCTCGCAATTCACTCACAAATGTGGCCTGGGAATGGCGTTCTGGCAGCGCGAGAGCCCAAAAGTGGCGACAGGTACAGGAATTGGATGACCCGCTCGGATTAGTAACATAATCCGCGGGCCCCATAGGGAGGGGGCTCCCGCCTGAGACTTCCTCATAATTCACTCACAGACGAGGCCCAAGGCGAGTGAGTGAGTGAGTGAGTCAGTGAGTGAGTGAGTGAGTGACTGACTGACTGACTGGTGATGATGATGATCATCACACTCTCTCACGCGCACACTCATCATCATCATATGTGAGTGCTGATGAGTCAGTGAGTGAGTGAGTGAGTGAGTGAGTGAGTGAGTGAGTGAGTGAGTGAGTGAGTGAGTGAGTGAGTGAGTGAGGGATGATGAGTGAGTGAGGAATGAGTGATGATGATGATGGTGGGCCCCTGTTCCTGCGCGGGGTGTCCAGAGAAAACAAGAACCCCACTCTGGATGTGGGAAATAAGATTAGGAATGGCATTGTTGGCATTACAAGTCGTAGTATCATTGATAGCTACGTCTTATTCTCATGTTCGAAATAGTCCCAAGAACGGCGGGCGGGGCTTGGCCGCGGTGTCCCACCGTCGCCATCTCTGCCAATGGTCAGCCGACGTCGCCCGACCAGGGTCCGCTCGAAGACAGTCCCCCCTTGGCCCCTCCGGAAGCCCAGTCCAGCCCGTGCTCCGAGCCGCGTGCCCCGCGCGGCGACGACGGGCCCTCCCGGGAAGCCCCAGAGGAAGACTTCTGGGAACTTTGGGCCCAGCACCGAAGGCCGCGCGGGGGGGAGGGTTACAAAAACCATGTCGATGGAGAGGCTATCAAGCCATTATTATTTTCTTTTCGGCCGTCGAAGAGGACGAAAAGAACATAATCAAGCACAGATAAGCTCTCCATCGCTTGGTTTTGATAAGGGGAGGGGAGGAGGGGGAGGAGGGGAGACGAGAAGCAGCCCGCGAACGGGAGCCCCCACGACGCGGGCAGGACCGAGCCGAGCCACCACCGCACCTCAGCGCCCCCGCCCGACCGCCCCCCCAGAAGGGGGGGGGGGGGAACTGACCCGTTGCCGAGGCGGGACGGGCCGCTCGCGCCTCCCCCGGCCGCGGCGGGGTTGCCACACGCCCGACCGCCGAAATCGGGAGGAGAGGGGTCGGGAAGAGAGGGAGGAGGCGGAGGAGGCCCCCGTGAGGTCTTCGTCGGGGGCTCCCGGGGGTCTCCGAGGAGATCCCCAGAGGGGCCTCCCAGGGGAGGGCTCCGGGAGCCCAGCAGAAGCAGACAGCGCCCGAGATCTTCGGTCCGCGATGGACGACGACCCTCGAGCCTTGCCCTTCAGCTTCCGCTCCAGCGCGGCCTCGCGATCCAGGACAAGCTTGCTCTTGGGGACGCCCGAGGCCTCTTTCTGGTGCGCGCGTCGCTGCAGCTGGTCCTGAGGAGGCCACGGGGACCCAGGGGGCCAAGCTGGGAAAGGGCGCAAGTAGGAGGAGGTGGAGGAGGAGGAGGAGAAGGAGAGGAGGAGGAGGAGGGAGGAGGGAGGAGGAGGAAGCGCAGGAAGGAGGAGGAGAAGGAGAAGAAGGAGGAGGCGGAGAAGGAGGACGCGGAGGAAGAGGGAGGACAAGGAGAAAGAAGAAGAAGAAAAATAAGAAAACTGAAAAGAATCAGAATAACAATAATGTGAAGAAGAAGAAGAAGAAGAAGAAGGGGACGGGGAGGAGGAGGGGGAAGAAGAGGAGGAGAAGGAGGGGGAGGAGGAGAAGGAGGAGGAGGCGGCGGAGGAGGAGGAGGAAAAAAGGAGGAGGGAGGAGAGAGGAGGAGGAGGAGGAGGAGAAGCAGGAGGAGGAGAGTGTGTAATGGAAAGGAAAACGCTTGGGCTTCTGAGGATGCAGAAACCAAGGACACATGAGCGGCAGACCAGCTGCGGCGCGTCGCCTGGCTCAGCAGTCGGGGAGCGCTTAGGGTCACAGCACGCTGAGCGGAGGAAGACCGCTCGAAACCAGGCGTCGTCGTCGTCGTCGTCGTTGTCGTCGGCGGCGGCGGCGGCTTCGTCGACGTCGTCGCTGTCCTCCTGCCCCCTGCCTCCCTGCTGGCATTTACGATGGAAGGCCGCCGCCCGCCGTGCTGGCCACGACCGCTGAGGCCCGCGGGGACACGCAAGAGGAGGTGGGCGGTCCACGGCAAGGGGTGGAGGAGAAGGAGGAGGAGGACGACGACGATGACGACGATAATGACGACGAGGAGACCCAGAGATCCAACGCACGTTTGGCGCTTTCCCCCGTGTTCGCCCTCTGTGGAGGGCCTCAGGGCCGCCAGAAACCGACGCTGGATGCAAAGGCGGTCCCCGGGAGGGGGTCGAGACTTCCGGGGGCCGCGTGCTGACCAAAGCAAGACGTCGAATCTCCATGGAGGGCAGGAGTAGAGAGCGAGGGAAGGAGGTGGAGGAGGAGGAGGAGGAGGAGGAGGAAGAGGAGGAGGAAAAGGGGGAGGAAGTGATCGAGGCGTCGCGCTTCGCGGCGAGGGGGGGGGGCGTGAGAGGCGCTCTTTCTTCCAGAGGGGGTGCGCGGAGTAGGGAGCGAGAGAAGGAGGGGAGGAGGGAGGGGAGGAAGGAGAGAGGAGGAGGAGGAGGAAAAAAGGGGAGGAGTGAATCGAGGGCGTCGCGCTTCGCGGCTGAGTGGGGCGGGGAGAGTTGCTTTCTTCCAGAGGGGGGCGCGGAGTAGGGAGCGTAGAAAGGAGGATGAAGGATGAAGAAGCGTAGGACAGAAATGGAGAGGAAGTGTCGGAGCGTCGCCTTCGGCGGGCGATTGAGTGCGGGGAGAGTCTTTCTTCAGAGGGGGCGAGAGTAGGGAGCGAGAGAAGGAGGAGGAGGAGGAGGAGGAGGAGGCGGAGGACGAGGAGGACGAGGCGGAGGAGGCGGCGGACCAGGAGGAGGAGACGCAGGGGACGGAGGAAGAGACCAGCGGCAGCGGCGGCAGCGGGAGAAGGTGTGGCCCGCCCGCCCGCCCTCCCTCCCGACCTGCCGCCCTCCTCCTTCCTCCTCCTCCTTCCCTCCCTCCCTCCTTCTCCCTCCCTCGCTCCCTCCCTCCCTCCTCCTCCTCCTTCCTCCCTCCCGCCCGCCCTACCTCCTCCCTCCTCCCTCCGCCTCATCCCTCTCTCCCTCCTCCCTCCTCCCTCCTCTCCTCCTCCCTCCCGCCCTCCTCCCCTCCTCCCTCCTCCCTCCTTCCCTCCTCCCTTCCTCCCTCCTCCTCTCTCCTCCTCCTCCTCCTCCTCCTCCTCCTCATCTCCTCCTCCTCCTCCTCCTCCTCCTCCTCCTCCTCCTCCTCCTCCATCCCTCCGTCCTTTCCTCCTCCTCGTCCTCCTTCCTCCTCATCAATCATCATCATCATCAGCAGCATCAGCATCGTCGCATGAACCATCATCATCATCATCATCACCACCACCACCACCACCACCATCATCATCATCATCATCATCACACCGACCACCACCCGCACCAGAACCACCACCATCATCATCACCACCACCACCACCACCACACCATCATCATCATCATCATCATCATCATCATCACATCATCACCACCACATCATCATCATCACATCATCATCATCAATCATCATCATCATTCATCATCATCATCTCTCCGCCTCATCCTCCTCCTCCTCCTCCTCCTCCTCCTCCTCCTCCTCCTCCTCCTCCTGCCTCCTCCTCCTCCTCCTCTTCCTCCTCCCATCCCTCTCCCTCCCTCCCCTCCCTCCCTCCCTCCCTCCCTCCCTCCCTCCCTCCCTCCCTCCCTCCTCCTCCGATCCTGGCGGTTCGTCAGTGCCTCCTGGATGGCGGACTCCGCGGCCTGGCCCTCGGAGGCGGCGCCGGTGCGGATCGTCGCGCCCTCCGTCAGGTGCGCCAGGGCCACAGGGCCGAGGGTGAGGCCCTCGGCGACGAGGTCGCCGCCGGCGGTGGCGGCGGCGATGGCCCGCAGCCGGCTGGCCTTTGGCGAGAAAGGCACGAGGTCCTCGCTCTGGTCCTCTTTGGCCAGGCGGCCGACGGCGGCGCTGCCCAGCCTGCCAGAACGGGCGGGGTGGGCATGGCGAAGACGCGCACAGCAGAGAGGCGGGGGGGGGGGGGCAAGCAGCTACCTCGGCCAGGTCGCCCCTGGGGGGCGGGAGGGCAGCGGCCAGCAGGGGGAGGGGGGGGGCGTCAGCAGACCCTTCCCTTGCTCCGAGCTGGGCAAGAAGCGTGGGGTGGATCGCGCTGGGGGTGTGTAGTGAGCCTGCCCGGTGCTGGGCTGGGCGTGGGAGCTGGATCGCGTTGGGGAATGTGCCCCTGTGGTAAATCGATTCTGCAGTCGATCCCCTACTCGAAGGGCTTGTGGCGAGGGGCGGGGCAAGGGGGGACGTCGGGAGGGGCGCGGTGTGGGCGGATGGGCAGGCGGCACGGGAGGGGGTAACCGCTGTTGGCGCAAAAAAAAAAAAACGTCCACAGACGTTGCGTCGACGGTGCCGCCCCCGGACCCCCCTTTCAATGTTGCGTTCGCGGCCGCTGTCGGGGTGCAAGCATCGGCATAAAAAAACACCCAAAGCTCCACCGCCAAGGCAACCCCGCTTTCAGCATTGAAATTGGGGGGCGCGGGGCTTCTGAACCTAGCCGCGCTGTCCATTATGCCTGGTGGGCGTTTTTTACGCCAGCGGCGGCAAGGACCTGCTTCTGGCGCGGTCGGTCGCGGAGGAGGGGGGTGGCGTTGCTGGTCAGAGGGTCCCGCCGAGCGGATAGGGTTAAGCCCTACAGGAGGATTTTGGGCGAAACGCAAGATACTCAAAACAAATACCCCCCCAAATAAAAAAAAGTCAAAGAAATCGTCCCCAGACTATATTTTGACTGTTCTTGAGCATTCCTCCTTTAGAGGGACAAGGCCCGACGTAAGGATAGGGTGCTGGGCCCCTCGGCCCCTCCCGCGGAGTCTCGCCAGTGGGATCCCGGCCTTCACTGCTCTGGGGTGTTGGCTGTGGCCGCAGCTGCCCACAAGGCCCCGGCCACGGGGCCCTGGCCTCCTCCTCCTCCTCCTCCTCCTCCTCCTCCTCCTCCTCCTCCTCCTCCTCCTCCTCCTCCTCCTCCTCCTCCTCCTCCTCCTCCTCCTCCTCCCTCCTCCTCCCCCGCCTCCTCCTCCTTCTCCTCCCTCCCCCTCCTCCTCCTCCTCCTCCTCCTCCTCCTCCTCCTCCCTCCTCCTCCTCCTCCTCCTCCTCCTCCTCCTCCTCCTCCTCCTCCTCCTCCTCCTCCTCCATGGTTTGGGGTCCGCGCGCTGGTATCAGGTTCACCGTCAGCATGTACTTATACTTGTATGTTGCTCCCGTCGTACTTACCCAGAGATCCAACGTATTGAAATTATCCTGGCGAAGGACCCAACCATAAGCAATTGTTCGTAACGCGTTGTGGGTGCCGTCTTCGGTGGGGTTCCTTCCCTCTGGGGCCACGAAACGCTGCCCTGGGTGGGGGAACCGCATGCGAACTGCGCCACGGGGGCCTCCGGTGGAGCTCCCTATGGGGCCACGAAACGCTGCCCTGGGTGGGGGAACCGCATGCGAGAGCAGCCACTGGGGCCTTCGGTGGAGCTCCCCATGGGGCCACGAAACGCTGCCCTGGGTGGGGGAACTGCATGCGAGAGCAGCCACTTGGGCCTTCGGTGGCGCTCCCTATGGGACCACGAAACGCTGCCCTGGGTGGGAGAACCGCATGCGAGAGCAGCCACTGGAGCCTTCGGTGGAGCTGCCCTATGGGGCCACGAAACGCTGCCCTGGGTGGGGGAACCGCATGCGAACACCCCCACTGGGGCCTTCGGTGGAGCTCCCTATGGGGCCACGAAACGCTGCCCTGGGTGGGGGAACCGCATGCGAACACCCCCACTGGGGCCTTCGGTGGAGCTCCCTATGGGGCTACGAAACGCTGCCCTGGGTGGGGGAACCGCATGCGAACACCCCCACTGGGGCCTTCGGTGGAGCTCCCTATGGGGCCACGAAACGCTGCCCTGGGTGGGGGAACCGCATGCGAACACCCCCACTGGGGCCTTCGGTGGAGCTCCCTATGGGGCCACGAAACGCTGCCCTGGGTGGGGGAACCGCATGCGAACAGCCACTGGGGCCTTCGGTGGAGCTCCCTATGGGGCCATGCTGGCCACGAAACGCTGCACTGGGTGCAACCGCATGCGAGAGCAGCCACTGGGGCCTTCGGTGGAGCTCCCTATGGGGCCACGAAGCGCTGCCCTGGGTGGGGGAACCGCATGCGAGAGCAACCACTGGGGCCTTCGGTGGAGCTCCCTATGGGGCTACGAAACGTGTGAGGGGTGTGCCGAGAGCAGAGGCAAGGAGGGGGAGGAGGGAGGAGGGAGGGGGCAGCGGGAGGAGGAGACGCGGGGCACCGTCTCTTCAAAACGAAGACCCAACAACACCACAGGATGGTTGGGAAAAACAAGACGTAGGTTTTTCGTGTCTTTCGGCCTCGAGGGGCCCTCGCCGGGCCCCGGGACCGTCAAAAAACGACTCAGAACGAAAAAACAGTCCTGGGGAAGGGGTCGAGACTTCTAGGGACCCCGTATTGAAAAAATCACGACGTCGGATCTCTGGGTAAGGACCACATCCCATAAATAATTTCGAGCGCCCGGGAAAGTGTCGAAACAGTGTCGAAACGGTGTCGGACGAGTGTCTCCCAGGGCCCGACAAGTGAAAAACCATTGAGTTTCGGTACTTGTTGGGGGGCTCGAAATTTATTCTCGTGATCAGGGCTAAAGTAGGTTGGAACATCATAACTCTACTGCCGTCTGTGCCGAGAACCCACACCTTTGCCTGCACCTGCTTACACAGCACATTCGTAGGAGGAGGCACAAGCACGTACTAATACCTGCTGTCCCCTTGCCATTTCCGGGCCAGGACTGTTAGAGCTACCGGCGGGCCTTTGAGATTTGACGTCTCGACTTTTGCGGCCCTTGTCGAGCGACATCAGCTGTGATGGCAGCTTGCTGCTCTTGAGGGTGGGATCTGTGGTTGGGTCGGCCTGCAAGATTGCGGACAGCTGGGGCGCTATGAAGACCCCGGAGACGGCCCCGGTAGTGAGCTCCAGGACGTGCAGGGCACCCGGGTGCATCGTCGCCTTCGGTACTTTGACGGTGCGACCGTCCACCACGGCCACCTTCCTTTCGATCAACCCTATCAAGTACACGTCGCCATCCTCTGACCGCTCGTTGATGTCTTCTGCGGCCTGGGCGAAGGTACAGCCATGGTAGCTTACGGAAAGCATCACCTGATAGAGTTCGATGCCAATGCTGCGCTCGTAGTCGCGCTGCCAGGGGACCAGTTTGCTCAAGTCGCCGCTGAAGCCTACGGACCTGCACAAGTTGCAGACCAGGGACAGCGATCCGCGCGTCAGCGAGGCCATGCCCATCAACGACAACTTCGTGTCCTCGACGCTCAAGAATGTACTCGCGCTGCCGCTGGCTGCCAGCGTCTCCGTGTCAAACTCGGCCCTGTGGAGCACGCAGTAGATAGGAATACCGGGAGTGGCTCGGCAGACTGCGAACGTCCGCATGATGTTCTGGCGATCGTCGGTGGCAACGTCCAGCGTGCCGAGGTCGGGCAGCACGAAAACGCGCTGGGCCCGATGCAGCTCCGCCCGCTTCGCGTCGCGCGCGCTGAACAGCTCCCCGTGGAGCAGGAGCACACGGTCGCGGAAGCGCATGGAGCTGCGCAGCCTCAGCAGCAGAGCCACCCGACTGAGGGTGCGCTCGTTGGGCAGCATGATCACACAGTCGTTGGCCAGCTGGTCGAAGGACTCGTCGCTGTCAAAGTGGTTCTCGTGGTACATCTCCTCGATGAAGTCCATCAGCATGGTCGCCGTCGGGTTCCCAGAAACGATCACGTGGCTCGCTCTTCGGCGCGACCACGACTTCCTGTAGGACCTGCGCCGCCATTGCGTACCGAGGAGCAGATCTTTCAGGAGCGGGTACACCGCTGTCACGAAAAATATCCCCGTCCAGACCGTCATGCCTGTCGCGACCAACCGCCCAAGCAAGGTCTTCGGCTTGAGAGCGACGTCACCAATCGTGAGCAAGGTGGAGAAAGCAAAAAAGATGCTGGGACCGACATCCCAACTCTCCACAGGCATGTTCGGCGTGCCAATCAACTCGAAAACCATGACCATGGCTGCCACAGCGTAGACGAATAGCGCGAGCTGAAGCAAATGAAAAAGCACCTGCTTCCGCCAGGCGCTGCTGGAGCGGACGTTGCCGAGATTATCCTCCAAAAGATGGTTCAGAATACGCACCAGCCTGAGAGCTGCAAGAAAAGAGAAAGAGAACCACGTGCGCCCCCGATTTGGAACGTCTAGCGCAACTCCGACCACAGACGTCACGACGAGGCAGTCCAGCAGCAGCTGTCCCAGGCTCGCTCGCATCACCGCAGTGATGCCGTTGCTGACAACGAAGATCCAGGCTGCAAGTATATCCAGGCAGACAAACAGAGTGCCTAGAACCTCCATCCCAAAATACATCTGGTCAACGGAGCGGCTTGCAGAGCGAGTCGCGAACGCAACGCACTGCAACAAGTGCACAAACAGAACGGAAATGGCGGCACCGACACTGCTCGAGGACAGGCCAGACTCATAACACGTGAAGCGTTGCCGTGCGTTTGCCCCGATCGGCATGTAGGGGAGGTAACAGCTAAGAGCGCACCCTGTGATAGACAGCAAGACCCATGGCACTGCGGCCACGAGCACTTGGGCTTGCACATGCTCCCACGAGACATCGACACAGTCGTTAGTGCACGTCCATGAGCTCATGGGATTGCATGGGGATAGGGGCGCCCCCGCTTTCGAGCTGTCAACTCGGACCCCTTCCCTGAGCCAGACCAGCTTCGGAGCGATGACAACTACGACCTGCGACATTGATCAGATGATCGGTGCGGGCGCGACCGCAGCCCTTTCTGAGAACAGCTCCACCCACCCCCACCCCCAGCCAGGACCCCCCTCCCGACCTGGTGATCCAGGGGCCCTGGCTGGGAGTGAAGGTGTTTTTCAGCCCCCCAAAGAAAGAGGCCTCCTAGATGGGGTTCGAGTAGATGGGGTCGGAGGATCGCGCCGCTTCGCCGATGCATCCCCAATGCATCGCCGATGCATCGGCGATGCACTGGCCAAGTCGGCGGAGCATCGGCGACGTCGTCGTGGAGAAAATCGGGCTTCATACCGAGACGCATCGTCGATGCAGCGGCGATGCGGCGAGATCCTCCGACCCCATCTACTCGGACCCCATCTGGGAGGCCTAGAAATAGGTCGGGCATGTCCCCCGACAGGCGGATTTTGGACGGAAAATTTGAAAGATACTAGAACTATTCAAAAACGCTCAAGAATAGCCCAAAAATCGTCCCCACCCGCCGTCAGCGCGCCCCCCCCTTCACAACAATGTTTAGCAACCGCGCGCCCACTGAACCGTTCCCGGCCGCAGGGGCCCGCGAGACGCCGCCCCACACCGCGAAGCCTACGATTAGGTCGGGCATGTCCCCCTGCATGCGGATGTTCGACGACTTTTTTAAATCAGAAAATTCTCGTTTTCAAAAATATTCAAAAAATCGTCCCCATATTGTTTTATTCGTACTTTTGAATATATCCCTCCTGGAGAGGAACAGGCCCGATTTCAGCCTACGACAACCTGGAAACGCCCTTGCGGTGCCCGATCCTTCTTCTTCACCACATCAGCCAGCTCAAAAAAAAAAAAAAAAAAAAAACCCTCGATGTCCATGCCGTTCTAACACTTCCAAGCTCATCCACGCCCCAGGAAAGCCCCGCTGCTTGGGGAGCACGAATGCGTGGCTCAGACTCGAAATGCTGTTGGGGTCCTCTGGGGGTCGTCTTGGGGACTGCTTTATGGCATCTTAGGCCATACCGTGGGCATCCTGAGCATCGGAGGCCCATCGGCAGCGAGAAGGCGATAGGGAAAAAACAGTGAAACGATAGAATGCCACATGTATTGCGATGGCTTGGGCATGATCTGGACTCGGGCGAGTTGGCCCCTGCCCGTGCTGCAGGCGAGCATCTGCCACCGCGCTTCTCAGTGGGGAGCGTACCGAATCCCGCTGGCTTCTCGTACCGTTTACCACACGGCCAGGTTTACGTCGGGCGTGTCCCTCTACAGGGGGATCTTCGACGAAAATTTTACATACGAAAAAAATAGAAAGGTCAAAAAATACTCAAAAAATAGTCACCAGACTATTTTGGGATATTTGTTTGACCATTTTTGTGGTACTTTTTATTTTTCGTCGAAAATCCCCCTGTAGGGGGACACGCCCGACTTAAGGCCAGGTCCAAAACCTCGAATCGCCCTCCCAACAAAAAACCGTGGGACGCATGAGTTGCTTCCGCCGGTCTCTGCCGGCGCAGGCGCCCGCGTCGTGCCTCCGCCGGCCCCCGCGGACCTTCGGCAGCCAGCCTCCGCGGAAAAGAGACCCGGAGATCCGACGTCGCGACTTTTGCCCATACGGGGTCCCCAGAAGTCTCGACCCATTCCCCAGGACCAGTTTTTCATCCTGAGTCGTTTTGTGACGGTCTCCTGGCCCGGCGACGGCCCCAAGAGGCCGCAAAAACTGCGAAAAACCTCGGTCTTGATTCTTGTCCATGCGTTGGATCCCTGTGGGGTGCAAGCCTCTCGACCCCCTCGAGGGCGAGTGCCGCTCCGGAGCGCGCCGCAGAAGTCGGGCGTTCTGCACGGGGCCGCGTCCTCGAAAAACCCGGGACGGCGCACCTCCTCCTCCCCCACTTCCCCTCCTCCTCCGCCTCCTCCGCCTCCTCCTTCTTCTTCTTCTTCTTCTTCTTCTTCTTCCTCCTCTCCCCTCTTTCTTCCTCCTCCTGCTCCTCCGCCTCTTCCTCTTCCTCCTCCTCCTCCTCCTCCTCCTCCTCCTCCTCCTCCTCCTCCTCCTCCTCCTCCTCCTCTTCCTCCTTCATCTGCTCCTTCTCCTCCTCCTCCTCCTCCTTCTCTGGCTGGAGCGGCGGAGCGGCAGTCTACATTGGGCAGTGGGGGGGCCCTTAGCATTGATCTTGAGTCGTGCCTGTCCCCCCACAGGCGGATCCTGTAAGAAAAATTACAAATACCCCAAAAATATTTAACATAAAGATTCAAAATAATAGTCAAAAAAATCGTCCCAATACTATTTTGGGACTATTTTTGAATAGTCCTCCTGTAGAGGGACACGCCCGACTGAACCTTAGAATTGATCGGGGGCTTCTGAGAAGGCGTCTTACACAGACCCCTGACGTCATGATTTTTCACGACGTCGACCCCCAGGGGTCGCGAGAGCTTCACGGGCTCCTATGATCAACGAACCAGACATGGCATTTTGGAAGGATTCGGGATTCTGAAGGCGCAGCAGTTGTTGATTCGCGGTGTTGAAGTGCCAGGAATGGCGTTCTGGCACGATCAGGATCGTCAAAACGCAACAGTCAGGTTGGTCCGTGGCGCTGGAATCCCGAGAGCAATGTTTTGGCATGCCTCCAGGTCTTCAAACGGTTCTCTTCCAACAAAGCAGTTCCCTCAGTGGAAATGAACCCTTGTCGGGGCCTACGAAGAGGGAGCTTGGAGGGAGAAATGATTCCAACATCGTTGGTGACTCTTGAGTTTACACTGGTCGTCCTCCTCCTCATCCTCCTCCTCCTCTTCCTCCTCCCCCTCCTCCTCCTCCTCCTCCTTCTCCCCCTCCCCATCCCCCTCCTCCCTCCTCCTCCTTCTCCTCCTCCTCCTCCTCCACCTCCTCCACCTCCTCCTCCTCCTCCTCTTCCTCCTCCTTCCCCTCGTCGGGCGCAAAAGGCAAGAAGCTTCAGAAGGGGAAAGAAGAGCAGGAGAAGCAGGAGGAGCAGGAGAATCAGGAGGAAGGGACTACGGGGGGGCAGGAGCGAGGCCGGCGCAATGTCCCCTCCCCCTCGGGCGGCCGCTGATCAGTGCCCAGGCAGTCGGGCACTGGGCAGCGGCTGCTCCGGGGTGGCTGGTGCCACGCACTGCACCAATTTACACAACTTTGGGGCAGCGGCCCGCTGGAGAAGTAAGGAGGAGGAGGAGGAGGAGGAGGAGGAGGAGGAGGAGGAGGAGGAGGAGGAGGAGGAGGAGGAGTAGCAGCAGCAGCAACAAGAGCACGACGACGATGACAGCGACGAAGACTCACGGCGACGGGGGGAGACGACGGTGACAAGGACAGGGACGGGGCGACGAGGAAAGGGGCGACGGCGACGATGGGCAAGAGACGACGGTGCAGAAACGTGCGGGATCTGCTGTTTAGGCTACATCCAAGCCGCTGCAGCCGACGCGTGGCATCCATTCCCTGTGCGCGCTTTTCCGTGAGAGACGCTGGTGGCGAACGAGTAAAAAACGCCCACGACGACGGTTAACATTGTGTTTGTGCGTTTCATGCCCGGGCAATTGACGCAGTCACAGCGGCTGCGTCGAATGACAATCAGCAGTAGCGACCAGCACACATTGGCAATGGCAACAGACGCACCCCGAGGATTTCAACAAGTTCGAGCAAGCACGGGACGGATGATCAGTCCAGCGCTTGAGCTGGAAAGATATCGCGATGCCGACGACGCTCGCGACGCTGGGCCTGACAGGTAGGGGAGGTATGCGTGAACGCCGTCCTGATCAGCCACCACTGCCTGCCCCAGCGTACGCTGGGATTCAAATGCTTCAGACATGTCATTTCTGTTCATGTCTGAACCCCGGGCTGGCAGCCGTGATCGATAAAGCGATTTCTGATCCGCGTTTACATGCTGAGCCGAATTTGGCCCAACAGCTGACCCAGTCTGTGACGGTCCTCAACAATGTACATGACAACCGTACGGCACCGAGTCTTGGGCAACACATGGCTGCACTTGCGGCCAGAATCAGAACAAAGAAGGTCCGCGGTAATGCATGATACGCTTTCCGATTACTCATGTTCTCTTGCACTACCGGTCGGAAAAAGTGGGTCGAATCATTAAATAAAAAGACGTTGGAAGTAGATTGGGTTTCCACGGCTCCTTGACGGGGAGGGAAGAAAGACGACCGCTCGACATTTGAACTAAGAAAACACCTCAAGACCGCCGACCCGATCGGCGTGTACTAGAAGATTTTCCGATTGAGTCGTCGTCGTCGTCGTCGCCACGTACTCGAGTCAAAGATAAGTCCCTTTTGCGTTGATCCTTCCCCCGCAGGGGGGCGCATTAGGATTGTGACCGAAAGTGCTAGAAGGCACAGCCAATTAGGACGGATTCCAACAATTTCGATACCAATCCCAACCAACCGGTACCAACTACAGCCGCTTCGGAAGTCATTTAAGGGTTCCCTAGAAGCTCCTCAGAGGTTCCGTAGACGCTCCTTACCAGCACCTTACCGGCTCCCCACAGGAACTTCAAGGATGTCTGAAGGATTTCTGACGGATGCTTGAGGATGTTTGAAGAATTCTGAAGAGTTCAGAGTACTTTTGAAGGATTGCTGAAGGATCCCTAGGGGACTCCTGAGGGTTCCTTAGAACTCCTACGGATTCCTGGAGGATTCCTGAAGGATTTCTCAGGGATCCTGAATGATTTGTTTTGATGCCCGTGGATTCCTCGAGGATTGCGGTGGGTTCCTGAAGGAACCCCGACGGATTTCTAAAGATTCCTGCGGGTTCCTCTGGATGGCTGAAAGATTGATTCGGATTTCCCCAATTCGTGAGGATCTTGCAAAATGTCACCAGATACCTGCGGGTTCCTTCGAGATTTCTCAGGGTTCCTCACGGATCCCCGAGGCTTCCTCGGATGCAGGAAGATTACCCAAAGATCCCGAAGGATTCTTACAAGATTCGTGAAAGACTCCTCGTTCTAGTTTTCCGCGCCCACGCAGGGCGCCCTAAGCACCT